ATGTCGATAGGTAAATGCATTAAAAAGACTCAAAATGCATTCACGAAAATCTTCAACAAAACATGTGTCTATGCACTGTTTAGTTTTTCCTGCATCACACTCTTCCCAATATGCTCAATTCTTTTACGGCTGAATTTAAAAGAAGGAAAGTTAAGTCACGATACGTTTTTGGAATTGTCCTGAGAAAGATTTGAAATCTGTTGAATAAATATCTAACTTTTTAAAGGCACCCAAGATCAATAAAAAAAACTTCCTCGTGTCTTCCCGATAAACTCACTTCAGCCTAAAAGTTGTTTCCAGTTTATTTCAGAGTTGACTGATGACAGTTTGGAATACTAAAATTATACGATGGTTCTCTTTTGCCGAATGTTCGTTGAAAAGAAATACGTGTATTTAGAAGTGGTATATATATATATATATATATATATATATATATATCTATATATATATATATATATATATATATATATATATATATATATATATATATATATATATATATATATATATATATATATATATATATATATATATATATATATATATATATATATATTAGGAAAATATTAGATGCAATACCATTCGTAAAAGCAGTTCATAGTCGCTCTGTACAACCTCACACACATATGCATGGAAGCAACTTGCTTCTCGAATTTCAGTTGATTTATATAACAATATGTCCTCTACCCTTCAAACACTGAAAAATATCAACAATTTCGTAGAACCCGGATGAAGTCTTTATCACAAAATAACAAATATTTTTTATTGACTCTTCATCCTAATGATTAATTCAGCCTTATTTTCTTTGACATTTATCCTGAGAAGGTGTATTGTATCTCCAAGGATCCAAAGAAACACAGTCCTCAGAGTAATTAAAATGTATTTTCGGAGAATGAAGTGAAAAACAGAATGATCACTTTAGCTCATTCATTCCATTTCAGATATTTTTGTACTTTCATCTTGTGGACTTGCTGGTATTAGTGACACCTACTGACTAATACATTATTTACGAAATGGGAGCCTAGTGTGTCCTGTGTTAGTTGAATAAAAAAAAAAAAAGTTTCATCTCTCTCTCTCTCTCTCATAAGGAGCTTTGAATATAAGTGACTAAATCAGCCACGTTTTCATTCTCTCTCTCTCTCTCTCTCTCTCTCTCTCTCTCTCTCTCTCCTCTCTCTCTCTCTCTCTCTCTCTCTCTCTCTCTCTCTCTCTCTCTCTCTCTCACACACACGATGAGGTAAGCCAAATCTTACAGGAAAGAGAGGGCTGGGCAGATTGCATATTCCTAGACTTCCAGAAAGCGTTTGACACTGTTCCACATGGGAGACTTATTAGGAAGCTGCACTCAATGGCTAGAATAGGTGGAAATGTTTTGGAATGGATAAAAACTTACTTAGAAGGAAGGGAACAGAGGGTTAGAGTAAGACACTCAGTGTCTGAATGGAGAAGAGTTAGTAGTGGAGTTCCACAGGGTTCAGTTTTAGGGCCACTTTTGTTCCTTGTATATGTAAATGACCTACCAGACTCTGTAAATTAATTCATGAATATGTTTGCAGATGATGCAAAGATTGTGAAGAAAGTAAAAAACGAGAACAATGGTAGAGAACTTCAGGAGGATCTAAATAATCTGCATGAGTGGTCAGAAAAGTGGCTAATGAAATTCAATACTTCAAAATGTAAGGTAATGAGAATGGGTACAAGTGCAAGAAGGCCCAAGCTTGACTACTCGGTGGCTGGAGTACAACTTCAAGAGACAGAAAATGAGAGAGACCTAGGAGTAAACATACTGGCAGATTTGTCTCCAGAAATACATATAAATGGCATAGTAAGGGCAGCATATGCATTCTTATAAAATGTAAGGGTAGCCTTCAGGCACATGGACAAGGAAATGTTCAGAAATATTTATGTAACCTATGTGAGGCCAAAACTCGAATATGCAGCCCCCTTTTGGAATCCGCACTTGAAAAAGCACATAGCTAAGCTTGAAAAAGTTCAAAGACATGCCACGAAACTGGTGCCAGAAATACGCAATCTCAGTTATGATGAGAGGCTGAGGGAATTAGACTTACCATCACTCGAAGCTAGAAGAGTAAGGGGGGATATGGTGACAGTCTTTAAATTCCTTCATGGTTATGATAGAGTGGATAGGGATCGATATTTCGATATGGCTGGCTCTAGAACTAGAGGTCATAGTTTGAAGCTTCGTAAGAAAACTTGTTTGCAGGATGTAAGGAAATACTTTTTCAGTGTAAGAGTAGTTGATAATTGGAATTCGCTAAGCGAGGAGGTAGTTAATGCTATCTCAATCCATAGTGTTAAGGACAGGTATGATAAGTATCACTAAGTCTAAAATGGAACCGATCAGGAGACGGGAAGATACGAGCTTTGGGCTCTTTCCCGTAAACACAATTAGGTAATCACAATTAGGTATTCACACACACATAAGGGGGTTTAACTATAATTGACAGAAAATCAGCCACGTTTTCCTTTTTTATTAAAGTAATTATTAGCATAATTGTAACTGTGACCTAGAATGGACCGTGACTGATCGCGAATCCAGTGAATTATAAATGCAATAACTTTGTTTTATTTTGTTTTGCAGATTGATATTTAAAGTCATATGTGCACATCTGCAGCATAATAAGGTTGAAAAAGTATTTCTAGATATATTTGCTACTACATGACTGCAATAATGACCATCGAAATAGCTAGGTAAATACCTAGGAAAGATTTTTAAAAGAAAAATCTAACTACTTAACTCTGTGAAGTACCCGCCTACTGACATGAACAAAATTACAGTATATAGTTACCTGGTGTCAGTCTTCTTGAAAACAAAAAAAAAGGACAAATTTCATTCTTTCATTTCACACATAGACTCACAACCACACACACACAAAACAAGAAGACAAAATAAGATGGACTAAAGATGTGACAATTGAAATGTCATACCCCATAACACATCTTTTAGAAACAACCGTTCAAAAATGTGGCATTACTCTTGGTGTCGGGTGTGGGACTTTAGTAGCTCTTAGAAATCTGAAGCAAAAAGTTAGGGACCTTTTGACCCTTGTATCAAACCTGGACGATAAAATCCAGAATATATATAGAGAAATGAAAGAAGGCTTTGAAATAAATCACAAGAATATGAAACACAAAGAGAAATTATATGAAAAATAGAGGAGAGTACCAAAGCACAAAGTGATGAGAAAAAAAGACTTTGAAAAATGAACAAAAAGCTGGAAGGGGAAAGGATTTGGATAAAAATCAGCATTCCTAAACAAGAAGATAACAACAAACAATTGAGTGAAACCCTGAATGAATTAAGTATTAATTCACTGCTCTCTTCTGAGAGATATGAGATTGCAGCTTGGAATATTCAGATTAAGAAAAACATCGAACAATTTAGAAAACATATTCAGGAGCTGAATAACAAACATGGGGGCATTATAAGATCCTTTATAGATGCAGTGAAGCAAAATGTGGCAGCGGAGGCAGTGAGGGAGGTGGCATTGGAAATTGTAAATACTGTTAATTGCAAAGGACCAGTGATGTTGTGCTTGAAAAGGCTTGTCCACTGATCAAACAAGCAATTATAAAGAGAAGTCAGTGATAATAATAGACACAAGTGAATTCCAAAAGTCAACATGGCCGGAGAGACTTGGACATAGTAGAGCTAGTGTTTTAGACCTGATAAGGAAGCTTGGAGTTGTATGTGGACCAAAGAATATTGCAAGTACTCACCGATTTGGTAAATATTCTATGGAGGGAAAGGCACTAATAATGAAAGTAACCATTGAAAGAGGGGACACATGTAGAGAAGTGCTGATGAGAGCAAATACCTAAAAGAACTTCAGAAATTCAGAACAGTGTCTATTACACCATATAGAACAGAGAAATAGATGGGAAGGATCAAAAGGTTGCTGCAAGAAGCTGGAAGGTTATATGAAGGAAGAAATGAAGGGGAGGAGAATAATTATTGTTTCAGGGTTCTTCCAGTCAAAGGATTAATAAAGAAGATAATACTAGGAGATTAGGAAATGCAACCTCAATAAAACTGAAGTACACAAATGCTAATGGGGTAATTGGTAAGGCAATGGAATTTACGGATAGTTTCACAACAGTAAGTCAGATATAGTAGCTGTTACAGAGAGCAAGTTGGGTGTGGACATAAATAGGGCCACAGTTTTTCCTAAAGGCTTCAGAATTGAAGAAAGAAATTCAGTCAATAGCTACAATAGAAAATACTCCACCCCCTGAGATTGTAGAGATAAGAGATCATGGACCGGTACTAGAGAGCATGTTGATGGAGTCAGATGCTCATAAAGATATAGGGCCTGATGACATAACCCCATTACATCCTTAAGAAATTCACTAAGCCATTATCAGTGGAGCTATGCATAGTATTTGAAAAGTCGCTGAAGATTCCAAAATGCTGGAAACAAGCAAACGTAGTCCCTATCTTCAAAAAGGGAAGGAGGGATACAGCTCTAAACAATAGGGATGTTTACTTGACCAACATAATTTACAAAGTTATGGAAAAACTACTAAGAACTCACATCTCTCTGCACTTGGAATCCTTCAACTTTATGCCAATGAGAAAATGTTTTACATTTTCATATACTATATATATATATATATATATATATATATATATATAATATATATATATATATATATATATATATATATATATATATATATATATATATATATATATATATATATATATATATAACCAAATAAGCTCATTACATATGTGAAAACATTAATCATTTTTTTTTACCCCAACCGGGACTTGAACCTAGGACTTATAATTACTAAGTCAAGGCGCTACCAACTACACCACAGAGGGTTAAAAGGCATCAGACCTTAGAGCTTATATCTGCTATACTTAAGAATGAACGAATTCTATCTGTGTAATATGAACATAGTGGCATTCAAATAGAATGCGTTCATTCCTAAGTATAGCAGATATAAGCTATAAGGTCTGATTCCTTTTAACCTTTGTGGTGTAGTTGGTAGCGCCTTGACTTACTAATTATAAGTCCTAGGTTCAAGTCCCGGTTAGGGTAAAACATGATTCATATATATATATATATATATATATATATATATATATATATATATATATATATATATATATATATATATATATATATATATATATATATATATATATATATAACTGCCTCTGGACAGGATGCAACCCTACAGCAACATTCATAATTCGCTAAAAATTGTACCACTGTTGCAAAAAATAAAAAAATGAATAAATAAAAATAGAAAATGTTTTTCTGTCTAACAACTAAAGCTGGGAATGGGGGGGGAGAGAGAGAGAGAGAGAGAGAGAGAGAGAGAGAGAGAGAGAGAGAGAGAGAGAGAGAGAGAGAGAGAGAGAGAGAGAGAGAGAGAGAGAGAGAGAGAGAGAGAGAGAGAGAGAGAGAGAGAGAGAGAGAGAGAGAGAGAGAGAGAGAGAGAGAGAGAGGAGAGAGAGAGAGAGAGAGAGAGAGAGAGAGAGAGAGAGAGAGAGAGAGAGAGAGAGAGAGAAATTATAAGAAAGAAAACAATATTGACAAAAAATAAAAACGTTAAATTGGAATGGCATCTGTAATACGTATAGAGTCTCCCTTTTCTTGTTATGAAATAAACATTCAGGTCCTCAGGGGAATAAGGCCAAAGTAATTTGTCGCTTTTATTACTATTTCAAATATTCTTTAGAAATGACATACAACATCACGAGAGTGTTTCACTGAATCAACATCAAAATAAAAATGATACGTTGACATTTTAAGTGGATGTTGTAAAAAGCGCCACCACTAATATTTATGCTTGTTTGATATAAAAAAGAAATATTTTGAGACAAATTTATAAGCTTCATTCATATGTTTAAACCCATAAGCTTAGATACAAATGAAACGTCCAGAATACTATACGTTGATGACATTTCAGAATAAATCATAACATAAAGCTCAGTTATTCTTCCATCAGTAGAAAGCAAATCTCAAAATATGAGTCATACAGTAATCGGAAATAAGGTTAAGGATGTCGCTGGAACCTCACCCTCATGCAACATATACATGACTCAACAAGTTCTTCATACCACTTTCTTAATAATGCCATCCTTGATAGTCGTTTATTAAGATAATCTCTTGCAGCCTCATCGGTCTTTCTTATCTACTGGGGTGATTTTTTAGTCGTTTGACATGACCCAAAAACGTTTCACTCACGTGCTACTGTATGACCATTATTTAGAGATTTGCATTCTACTGATGGAAGAAATAAAGTGGAATTTTGATCATTTAAAATTATTAAAACTCAGAATTTCATATGTTTAACTGATGTCTGAATATTTAAAGCAGGATTAAAACACGCTTACGGAACTTTTTAGAGGAAATTTATACTTTCAATCTAGCCTTAAACTTAGGCTTTTTTCCTTATTTTGATTTTTTTTTTCTTATGGCCATATTTTCAAGATGCATAATATAAGTTAATGCATTACTTATATATAAAATATATACCTTTACAATTAAATTCATGTATTCACTTCACAGTAATCCATTACAATTACATAGCTATAAGAAAAACACATTTGAAAACGGATTTTCTAATATGGGAACGTTAGGCTGTGGGATGCTGAATTTGTTACAAATTTCAGACTATACAGCTATCTGTTTAGAAGTCACTTAAAAACTATTTTTTTCATTAATTTTTGACATTAAGTTCATTCAAGTCGTTTCTGAATACTGAAAATTTACTAAATTTTGCATCACACATACATACATGTGTGTGTGTGCATTACACTTCATGCTTCTATCATGATTTCATCATGTTTACATGCTATTTCATCATATGCACCATGCTTTCTAGGAATCATGGTGAAACACTATCAAAAAATATGATGAAATATCTAGTAAACATGATGCAATCACGATTCTGACTCCATGTATCCATCATCCTTGCTTATTTACAGTAGAGGCCTGTATATAAGAAGCAGAAAGTCATTAAGAAGTTCAGTCTCTTATCCCTCCAAGTTATGAAAACATGGAACCAAGAGACAGCCCTTCCATTCTGTTACTTTGCAAGATACCTAGATTTTATTGAAACAAGTAACAGAGATGCAGCAGCAACTGTAACTCTCCTTCCACCGGATAGTGGTGATCAGGACATTCCAAGTGATGAAGAAGAATGGGACAAGCAATATGATTAATTATTTGAACCACCAGGAGAAATGGATGTTACATTGACTCTTCTGATTCCGAAGATGAAGGTGGAACTAAGCGTGGTGCTTCAAGATGGAAGAAAAATTGTCCATTTGTGAAAACTTTTATTGCTGAAGAGATGCCAAGCACTGCCAGTGAAAAGTTTCCTGAAGTGCTTATGAAATCTTGCTATGAAATTTGGTACTAATATTTCACAGACAACACATTTCACTACATATTAGAGCAAACTAAATAGTATGCTAGCAGAGGTAAGAATGATGCTAAATTTGAAGTTTCCATTGAACTCAAACATTTCTTTGGAATTCTGATTTTTTTCTGGATATCACTTTGTAACATCAGAGAGAGATTACTGGAGTAATCAACCAGATCTGAAAGTTCCATTCGTTTCAGAAACAATAAGTCGAGACAGATTTTTTAAAATAAAAGCAATATTTTCTTGTTGCTGACAATCAAAATTTGGAGAAAGGAAACAAAGTCGCCAAAGTTTCATACCAATATCAGTCAAAGAATGAAAAGCTATGCCAATAGGGAATATTTCACGAAAAATTAAGTACTGATGAATCCATGGTGCCCTATTTTGGCAAGCACAGTGACAAGCTGTACATAAAAAAACAAACCCATTCGTTTTGATTACAAGATTTGGACAATATGTGGAAATGATGGATATCCATACAAGCTGACTATCTACAGGAAACTCTTGTGCTCAACGCCATGAAGAACCCTTGGGACAGTGTTGTCATGGATTTACTGGATGTGGTGATGAAAAAATCTGTGCCAAAGTATCATGAGATATGTTTTGACAATTTCTTCACAAGTACCAAATTGCTAGAATTGCTTACAGAGAAAGGTTTTATTGCATTTGGTACTGTTCGAGAAAACAGAACAAATGGGGCTTGTAAGTCAATGGCTACAAATAACGAAATGAAGAAAAGAGATAAGAGGCACTTACCATTATCGTTGCAGTACAGTCTTTGTGTGCAAATGGCAAAACAACACTATTGTGAACATTGCAAGCAACCATTTTACACATGAGCCTGTTCGGAAAGTGAGGCGGCATGTCTCTAAAAAAAAAAATGAAGTAACAGCTCAATATAATCTGTTTATATAACAAAAGAATGGGAGATGTGGATCTGATGGACCGCCTTTTATGATATTACAGACCAATGATCAGAGGAAAAAATGGTGGTGGCCACTAATAATAAATCAGGTGTATATCTCCACTGTAGCAGCTTGGAAATTTTATTGTGCTCTACACCCAGAAGACAAAAAAGATGACACACCTTGAGATCAGACGAGAAATAGCATTGGTTCTTGTGTTATCTTCTGAAATTAGACGACAATCACAATGAGGAAAACATGCAGACTTCCCTGAGGATATACGATATGATGGTGAAAATCATGATCCAACTTCTTGAAGTCAAGATAGATGCGTTGTAAGCCATAATACAAGATCAATGTGTGTAAAATGTAATATGAGGCATCATTACAGCAAGGGAGCAAAGGGGGTCATTACTTACCACAACACACAATTTACTTTTAGATGATATTTTTAAAGTTTTGTATTGCACTGTAGTTTGATATGATTTGCATTCCATATATCTGTATAAATTAACTTATGGATTTATCATTGTGTTAACACAGCGAACAAAAGTAATAAGTACAAAAAATTATTTATTTTTTTTGTATTGTAGTATGAAGTGAGTTATATTCCATATACAGTATATGCAAAAATGAACTTTTATTATGTATACACTTTCAAGTTAATACAGGAAACAAAAGAAATCAAGTGTTTTTTTATTTATCCAAAATTAATGCAAACTCCATTCTTCATCCTCCTAACGTACCCAATACTATGGTTTCTTGCACTAACTTCACAGAATATAACTTATGAGTTCTAACGTTATTGCGATAATCCACTCTATAGTGACGACATCCATTACGTAATAATCATTATTAATGCTTGGAATGGGAAGCAGATATAAGCAATATGAGTGTAGGGAATGTGTACCGATTAAAGATTAAAAAATATATATACTGTATATAAAAGACAATGTAAAGGGGGATATGCCAGTTACCGATAAAGAGGAAGGAAAAGAAGATAGAGCACAATATAAGGAGAGGCAGCCGAAGTGTTTTTGCCAACTTTTAGGTCATAAATGATCAAGTTCTGAAATATAAGGGAAAAAAAATCCAATAATTTCTTAGTTCAGGCAGTATAACGTTAAAAGACAAAGAGCAGAAGCTTTAATCGCAAGCTGTGAAAAAAGCATAGAGTGAACAACGCTTGTGTTCGAGTATGTGCACTTACCTAATTCTGGTAAAAGAAAAAAAATATATAAAAAAAGTCCTTTTATGATAACTCTCGTTTTCATGTTGGTTTATTTTTACTCCCTTAAACGTATATATATAATTAAAACTATGAATGCATTTAGCATTTACTGTTTCCCAACTTAGCATTATCCAATAATAAACTAAAGTGGTACTTAAGGAAGACCATATTTATGTTTCTTAAGTAAGTATATGCTTCCTTTACTGTACCATTTACATGTATTACCAGAAACAAATCTGCCAATATATTTACCCCCTAGATATCTTTCGTTTACAGATTCTTGAAGATCTTCTTTTGCTATTATGTACCCAAACTTGAGCCTTCCTGCATTTATGCCCATTCTCATTACTTTACATTTTGAAGTATTGAATCTCCTTCGTCATTTGCCTGACCACTCTTGGCAACTGTTTAAGTCTTTCTAAAGTACTTTAGCATTATTTTCGTCTTTTACACTCCAACAATCTTTGTATCAGCTATAAACATATTTAAAGATGCATTTAAATTTATAAGGAACGGTAATGGC